AATAATAATGCCTTGTTTTAACTAGGTTTCAATCTCCTCAAATTATCGACTCATTTACAATCTTCACAAATTGTATCAACCCTTCTGAGTACAATACTATGCTATGTTAGAACCTCATAAAATAAGTTTCATTCACTGATTCAACAAGCGTTATTAAACACACACACAAGGTTGTGTCTGATACTTCTTCTGGACCAGAAATTCTCAATGCTTTGGAACAGGCAATCTCCCATCCTTAAAGGTCTGTGCTTTAGAGTTTCAAGACTACATGCCTTTCCCACCACTGATTAATCAGCAATGAAACTGCCAGGAAACTGTGTTTATAAAATAATTTTGTTTTGTAGATTAGTAGAAGTCAACTTAACTAACATACTGTATTAACCTCTAAAATTCAAATTGAAAGTGTAAAAAAAATTGAGTTAAGATAAAAGTCTCAAAGACTATTAATATAAAGTATAGTATATAATCATTAGTATTTTTAATTTAAATAAATCTGTACCCTAAAGTAAACAGAATGTTTAAGTTCCTATCCCAATTTAGAATTTAAAAATTATTACAATATTAAGGTCTTCCTGCTCATATTCATCTCGTATCTTACTGCTAAATCAATCTTCCTAATTATATCTTGTTCCTGATCAGAAACCTGTAACAATTCCTCAAAATTTGTCAAATTAAGTCCAAATTGCTCATCCTTGCTTCGGTGTACTCCACCGTCCCAGCCTTTTAGTGGAGAGACTATTTCACTTCTATCCTATGCGCCAAGCAACCTGCTCTTGCTATAATTCACTGGCTGCTGTAGGACTCTGTACAGGCTATTTCCCCTGACCAGGACAAGCTACACCCCAACCTAGATAACTCCTACATTTTCTATAAGATTCACCTAAAACCTAACTCTGGGCTCCCCAATCGTCTCCCCACATTTGTTTCCCATGGCTAAATCTAATGCTGCTTTTGCAGGATCCCATAACTTAAAATAATTACAGCATTTACTCCTTTGTATCAGAATGAGAGATTCATTTAGCTACCTACCCAATGAGACTGCAAGCTCTTTAAGGATAAAGACTCATTTTATATATCCAGGACTGAGTACAGTTTCTGCCAAATGCAGAGGCTGAATAAATGGGCCAGAAACTAGGAAGGCTATGCTACCTACCACTGGCACTAAGGTTCACAGTGTTCCTGTTATAAGTTTATAGAACACCAAGTTTATAGAACACCAATGGAACTGCTAATTTGTTTATTTGGAAAGCAGTTAATCTATTATTCCACTTGTCTTACAGTGTTCACAACATCATATATATATTAGTATGCTTGTTTCATATTTTAGACTAAAAACTAATCAAACGTAGGGACTGCATCAAATTCCTGTAATTGGACCCAAAGATGGAGGAATTCATTTTTGTGTTCATCTGATGGATGGATGGACACAACCTCACAATGGGCATATACATATTTAGTATGTGCCCTGCTTTGACACTATTATGGGGAGAAGTCAGTAAAGTTACAACTCTACCTTACAGGGATGCAACAGTGTCAAATCTTAAAGTACTTACTGCCTCATAATGCAATTTAGGGTTTGCTACAGAATTTTATTTACAGCATATGTCTAGACAAATTTCATACAAGCATGGGTATCTCTGCTGCTCTAACATTTTATTATTCCCACTTATTATACCCAGAAAATATAATTACTAGAAAATATAACTGCTTCAACCTAAAAGCATACTTTAAAAATTAATATTTGATAAACATTGGAAAGAAATAAGTACTATATAGACCCTATTATTTGAAAAATGCCAAAACATTTTAATTTTGATGCCTCAATTAACTGTCATCAAAGTAGCAAAGAAATAATTACAAATGTAAACTAACTGCTATATGTTCTGCTGTAAGTACTCTATTGACTTCTTTTAACGTCAAAACCCAATTTACAGTGTGGAAACTGAGGCACAAGTAAGTTAAATAATTTGACCAAGAAAGCACAGCTGGCCAGGCGCAATGGCTCACGCATGTAATCCTAGCACTTTAGGAGTCCAAGGCAAGGGGAATCACTTGAGGCCAGGTGTTCAAGAAAACACAGCTAGTAAGTGACCGTGCTGGCATTCAAACCTAAGCAATCCACAAACCAATATCTGAACCACTATGCTATACAATATTAACAGCAATTCCCCAGACAAGAGTCCAAAAGTGTTAATCTAAGTGATCTAAGTGAGAGAGACAGACTATAAATGTGTACAGTCTTCTCTCAGCCTATTCCATAAATATTTCAAGAATTTAAACAAAAAGTGTAATATCATAAAACTAACTTGTGTGTGTAACCTGTGGAATTAGTCTCATTTTGTGGGAATACTTTACAAATTTAAATGCAAAATGGTTACTTTGGCATTATGTTTTACTGTGAGGGTTCTTACTAGAATGCTATTCTGAGTACATGTAAAGACAAAGATAAATGCCAAGTAACATAACTAAAAGGCAATTTAAGGAACAGTAAAATGTCCCTATAAAAAGAGAATGTTACAAATAATGGTAACATCACGCATGCTTCACATTGAAGTCTGCTAACAGGATTCTGCTACAACTTATTTTACTCAAAATAAAATGGCTCAAATATATTAGAGAATGAAACAGATTTCAAAATACCCTCCATCTGTATGGCTGCCAATTAATATATTCTTCATTTTTCTATGATTGCTCTAACTCCCTTTACTTGAAACAAAGTTGTCTTTATGTCACTCATTTTTCTAATTAAGTCTCAGATATTTTCTATTATTAAGTTGAACCATATAATTCACCCTTTCAACCAGTTTTTCCTACAAAAATGGACACTTAATATGACTGTATATAAGAACTCTCTCAAAATTCAACATATTAAAAAGAACAGACACCCTCAATGAAGCTATAATTATTCCAAATACTGCAAGAATAAACAGTTGACAATGTTTTCAAACTCAAAAGAAAAAATAATCATTCCCATGGGGAAAAATTCACTATATATTGTTAAGTGAAAAAGACCAGATTACAAACTAGTATAATACCAATTTATACATAAAAACATCAACTAATAAAAACATTTTAGACTTCAGGATGTTAATTTCTTTGTTCTCTATGTTTTCCTGATTTTCTAATTTAAAATAAGTATTACTATAATTTTAAAAAACAATTTAAAAATAAGTCAATCTTTGCTTAACTCTTTACCAAAATAGACTTAAATTAATGAAGCTACATATGTACCCTAAAACAACATAAAAAATTTTAAATAGCCTACACTTTTTTGTTAATTCAATAATAAAGGCTATGAGAAATAACACAATAATAAGCTATTTCTAAAAATACTGATAATTTTCTTTGTTAGTATAAAAAATTTTATTCTTACATCAATGAAATAAGCCTAATTAACAGTTGAGTTTGGTTTCCTCATCATTAGACCTCTAGCAAATAAAGAGCAGGCCAAAAAGTTAAAATGCAAGAGATCAGTATGGAGTAGGGAAATAGAAAATGAGAATGAAACATAAAGAAGAAACTAAAAGGAAAAAAAAGAAAGCTATATACCTTTCTACTACATACGAAAAATGTTTTAAAAGAACAGAAATATGTTTTGATATGTACATGGACAAACAAAAATGTTATAAATATCTTCCAGGTGACATCTAATTTTTAAAAGTCTAATAAACAGAATTCAGATGTTCTAAAAGTCCAATTTTACCAGAGTTAAATGCTAACTACAAAAAAAAAAGGCTTTGAAATGAAATTAAGTTCTGAGATTTTGCTGATTAACCAGCTAAGTAACCATCTTACCCAGAATGGGTTCTTATATTTATAAACAAATACCCTAAAAAAATATCAGGATAGAGGTTTGAGCTGAACAGACCCAAGGACCATTAAACAATTAGTCCACTGTGGTTTAGCGCCCTCTGGCTGCCGTGGCAGGAGACATCACAGATGAAAATGTCTGCCAAGAAAGTTAGAAAGGTGTTAAGCAGAAGCTGGGAGGAAATTTTTCAGGCAAATGTAGAAGCTAATTTAGAAACAGACCCTTAAATACACATTCAAGTAAGTTTTACTCCTTCCTCTAAAAAATATTTAAAAACATCAACTAACAAAACATTTTAAATACTGTCTGAAATTTTCAACCATAAATTAACAAAATAGAGTTTGGAGATAAAAGTTGGTTATGAGAGACTAAAAGAGTTAACATCTAACTAAAGATCAGAATTAGTCTCACCTTGGAAAAATTTCTTAACATGCTAGAAAGAAACACTTAGGTAAAGAGGTAAAAAACTTTTACTAGAAATTCAAAGAATATTGATAAAACTTCCTCTGATTATAAATCTGTGGTAAATATAAAAGGCAGCTTACAATAATGACTATTACATTAATTCAAAGTTTCCAGGTAGTAAATACAATTTGAAGATAAAAATTAGGCAACACTGAAGTCAACATTTCCTGGAATCACCGAATAATATAAGCAAGAATACGGCAAGGGAAAATTTGCTAAACCAAATTCAGATCAGATCATTTATATTAATCTTTCTTCAAAAAACTATTCTATGTCACATCTTAATTTTGTCCAATAAGGCTCAAAAGTAAGTTTCTCCACTTTCCAATCTTCCACCAGAGTTCAGCTAGCAAAAAACCACAACAGTCACAGTACAAGAAAAAAAAAAATCTATTCATTTCACTGTCTTGTTAATTATTCACAATTCCCTATCATTTTAAAACAGTGGATCTCAGCCTTGTATCCACCCTAACACACCCAAGAGACATAATGCTTTCTAAATAACAGTGGTTCACAGAATTCTGATTCTCAGCACAACTGGGAAAGGACTAGAAAGTTTGTAGGGAAAAAAAAGAGACGGGAGTTAGAGGGATGAGAGTGAGAATGTTCCTTGAACACTTGGGATCTTTCTTTTAAGCAAGTCTTAATTTAGTAATCTTTTCAAAACTTATCATCGTTCAAAGAAATGATGCAAATAATTTTTACAAAAAAACAGAAACCTTACCCTGCAGTTCATGATGTATTACACCCACTAGGTTGGGTTCATCTCCCCACCAGAATATCCATAACTCTTTGCAATCTGGTTTGACATCACGACGCCATACACAGAGCAGGTTGGCTTGCAGACAGCGAATGAAACTTAACAGGATTGGATCATCTTGGGCTGGGGCTGAAATTATGGGTCCACAGTCCCCATGCCCTCCAAAATTGTACCTACGCCATTTGATTCCCGTGAGTTCAGCCTGGAAAAAGACAAAAAAAATTGCAATAGTTTTGATTTTTCTTTTTACTTTTATAGACCCCAGAAAACAGGCTTCCTTACAGAAAATAAAATGTACTAAAATAAATATTTACACCAAACTTCACATCATAAGATTTCTCCCAGTGACATGTCAATCCTTCTCGATTTTAAGGTGGGAAGAAAGTTCACTTCTATTAAGATATCTGGGCCGGGGGTGGGAGGGGGAGACACTTCATCATAAGGGTACCTGATCTCAAACCAAATGACATGGGGACCAAAGTGAGGCCCAAATTTTACCTGTACAATGATCATCTGTATACATAATTCTGAAATGTACCCTGCATCTTTAAAATAATTTTTTTAAAGAGTATAAAAAAATTATTTCTACGTAGCTCTTTATATTAAGTGCCAAAATTAAACAAGCAGATAATCATGATTTCCTACTGAACCATTTTATTTACCTACACATTTACTATACAGTCCATTTCCTATATTCCACATTCAATCCGTAAGTTATATTTACAAATCAGATATGAGTTTTTTTAAAAATTTGTAGAATTGAAATAATTTATTTCAAGGAATTTCTTCCCATCCAGAAGCTACAATTTAAACCCTTGTTTTATCAGAGAAGCAGCATGCAGTACCCTAGTGCTTCATCATGAATCCTAAAAGGCTATTTATGTAGAAGATGCTAACAAACTGATGCAAAGTTATAAGCAATTTATTCATGTTATTTAATATGCAGCGCACAGAAAATCATTGCTTCTATAACAATTCCCTAAGGTAGCTTGGTCTTTTGTTTTTTAAACACATTGTAAAACATGAGAACTTGAAACAAGCAGAGAATAGACACTGTATCTTTGTTCTATTACACACATTTATATTTTAAGATTTCTTAAATCTTAGGTTTAAAAAACTAAACTTCAAAGATGTTTCAATACAAATGAAAGCCAAATTCCTAACTTAAGTAGCTATAAACTATAACTGCATATTCAAAACTGATAGTAAACCGATTCATAATATAATTCTGTACCAAACAGTCCATATGTCTGCTGCATTCAATCAAGGTTGATTTTGGTCAACAAAATTTTTTTCAAATTTTTTCAAAAAAACTAAGTACCACCGTTTAGAAAAAATAGCCATAATCTTCTACCAACATAACTGAAACAAATTTAAAATGCTGAAGCAATCACATGATCACATTTGTGAAAAAAAAATTGCCTCTTTAATCCAAGTAAAAAAGACTTCACTTCAAAAAGAAAGTTACAAAGAGAATATCCAAAGTAAAACTATCTGAAATTCAACAACTTATCTTTTGCACTATAAGATTTGCAAATCTAATCTTTAATGAATATGCTTAGTAAATGCTGGTATTGGAATCATCTAGGCTTTCTCTATGTTACTTGATTTCCTCTAAATATGAACGTGCTACATGGTCAGTGTAAAAAGTTCAAAAATAATATACCATAATCACACTACAAATAATTATTAACATCTTATCGTATGTCCTTCCTGTTTTTCTGTACATATACATTTTTTATTCTTATTCTTATTTGAGTCAGAGTCTCACATTGGTGCCTATGCTGGAGTGCAGTAACATGATCACAGTTTACCGCAGCCTCCACCTCCTGGGCTCAGGCAATCCTTTCACCTCACCTTTCCCAAGTAGCTGGGAGGAACTAAAGGTACACGCCACCACACCTGGCTTTTTTCGTTGTTTGTTTTTTTCTGTAGAAAAGAGGTCTTGCTATGTTGCCCAGGCTGGTCTTGAAATCCTGGGCCTAAGAAATCCTCTCACCTCAGCCTCCCAAGGTTCTGGGATTCAGGAATGAGCCACTGTGCCCAGCCTGTATATACACATTTTTAAAGCAGAAACCCTGCTGCTTGGTTTTACATCCTAATTTTTCACTAATTATATTGTTATATATTAATAATTATACTTCAAAAACAATTTTAATGTTTGCAAAATATTCTATTCACTCTCTGGAGAAAATATAACTTAACCACCTGGACAAGCTTCCATTTTTTTTTCCACTACTGCAATTATTATAATTAGTGCACATATTTGAACACTGTTATTTTCCTGATTAATTCCTTAGAAGAGATTGCTTGGTATAGAATGACCAAAGAATATAAATATTTCAAGACTCAAGAAGAGTACTACCACACTACCTTTCCATTAATAATGCCCCCAGTAAGAACAGCTGCCTCCCAAATTGCATGTCTTTACCTGCCAATTTAATACAAGGGTATGTGTCCTTATACAAATATGTAGTCTTTTTTCTGCTTGGAGGAAACTGTTATCACCTATTTGATCAGAAGTATAAGCTGAGGCTATCCTTCCAGGGTTTGAGTACCCAACTCCATACTTACTAGCTGTAAGTAGCAAGTACCTAGCAAGTTACTTAACCTCTGTCCCTCAGCTGCCTCACCCATAAAATGAGGGTAACAGTACTTAACAAGGTGTTGACTAAATAGCACACATGTAAAGTACCTAGGGACAGTGTCTGGAACATGGCAAAACCGTACATGATATTATCAGCATACTAGTAACAGTAGTGCTATTTCTCTTACTTTGAGTTATCTATATCCTTTCTCCATTTTTCTATCTTACAAGTTCCTTTGTTTATTTGAATACAAGTAACGTGTGTGGTTTTAATCAGAAAGTCTAACATCAGTCTGTAAATAAATGTTAAAGAAGAGAACAAAAAGAATAAATAGAGGCAGTTGAAATCTTATTAACACCTAAGCTAAAGATAGTGGTTCTGTGGATCTTCTGGGGAGGGATAAAAACGTATCAAGAAAATATGAATCAGTCATACTGACATTAACCATATTTAAACAATTAGACAATTAGGAGATATCAGAGATTTAAACATCAGATGAGTCAGTCTCCAAGAAAATCTGCACAACAATTTACTCACTAGAACACTTTCACCTGTAACATCCGGCACAGTTGAGAAGACAAAATATTTGGCTTTGACTCAGGAGACTGGTTTCCTAATCCCAGCACTTCCACTAACTTCCTATCAGTGCTTCTATGCTCTCAGTGGCAAAGGGAAGCCGCTACCACCTGCTCTACGGTCTTTACAAAGTTGCAAGTGATATAATCACTTCATAACTAAATCTGCCAAAAGACCTGAAAAATGTCCAATTATTTTAAAACAATCTAGTTGTTTTATTTTGAAGTTAAAACTAAATATCATACCAACCTTCATTGGAAAATCTAACAATGAAACATTAATCAAGCCTAACAGTGATAACTAAATATGAAATGGCTATTCAAAGACATTATTTTAAAATTTAAATTAATGTTTGATAAAAGAAAAGACAACATAATAATATTGAAATAGTGTCCGAGAAAAAGAAATTCCCATCATGGATATTTATTCAATTAAATTAAAATGTCTTCATGTAGCATGATCATATTTATAGTTAAACATCAAGTCCACCCAAGTTCTATTGTCCCAATTTCTGACAAATGCTTATCCAAAAACTCACATGGTTTTTAAAATATAGAAGCAAAAAGATCATAATAAAATGTATAGAACAAAACCATGTATAATAAAAACCACCACCATCATTACTTATTAAGCATCTACTTAATGCCAGGCATCATACTTGGATTTTCATATATTAGCTCTAATACTAGGCATCATAATAGGGTATACATATATAATTTTTAGTCTTTATAACAGACAGCTAAATAAATTAGGACTCAGAAAGGTTAAATAATTCTCCCATAACCACAGGTAGCAAATGGTGGATCCCAAATATACCATAACTGAATTTAAAGCATAAATTCTTACCATACTCTGCCATGCTGCTTCCTAGGGCTAATTGTAAAAATTAGTCCAAGAGGATTATAAAATAGTACAAAGAAACTGTCATCAACTCAATTTAGCAATGGCTAGACCTCATGGCTATACTTTTTTTTTTGAGTTGGAGTCTCACTCTGTCGCCCAGACTGGAGTGCAGTGGCCGCTCCTGGGCACTGCAGCCTCAACCTGCTGGGCTCTGGAGATCCTTCCGCCTCAGCCTTCCAAGTAGCTGGAACTACAGGTGCGTGGTACCACACCCCGCTGATTTTTTATTTATTGTAGAAATGAGGTCTCACCAAGTTGCCCAGGCAGGTCTCGAACCAGCAGGCTCAGGCAATCCACTCACCTCAGCCTCCCAAGGCGCAGGATTACAGGCTGAGCCACCGAGCCCGGCTTATACTCTCTAATTTAATAAAGTTCATGAATCTTTAGTCTTCCTGAGGTATTAAAAAAACTAGTATAAGTGTGCCCACACATCATCTCATGAATAGAAGAGATTTTCTTATTTCACTCAGATAATTATATGCTTTCTTTTACATGTTATCACTATAAGATGGTATCTATACAAGCTAATTCTTAGAGGGTATTATAACAAACCAAGAAACATAACTATTCTAATAGCAAGACAGGCTGGAAGAAACTTGCTCAGCGATGGCAGACATCTGTTGTAGAGGTAGTCAACGTTTGAGCTCAGAAAATTGAAGTTAACTAGTAGAGACTCCTCTGGCCTAAACAGAAGGCAGTCAGTTCAGAATGGTTCTAATTAAATAGATTACAACAGAATCAGGATAGATGCACTTCCTAACTGCATAAAAGTAACTTAAAGAAAATTTATATTGATTCTTAGTGTCCTATGTGTCAGGTACAAAACGTAGGAAATGAGGAACGGAGTAAAACTAGCAGACGCTGATAAGAAGGAACCCAGGGTACGGTATCATGGAAAGAACACTAGTTGGAGATCAGGAGATCTAGGTTCTAGGCCTGGTTTTTCAACAATTTACCTATAGGATGTTAGGAAATCTACTCTACCTCAAGGTGCATCAGCTTCAGAACCAGTAAAGTGATAGGGTTGACCTAGATACTGTAAATGAGTTCAAGTCTCCAGGCCCAGGCTAATTACATCCCACTCGCAAAGGCAACTTGCAAATGAGATAGAACCTTCATTAGCCATCTTAGACCAATCAGCAAGAACAGAAGAGCTGCCAGAAGATATTCAAAATTTCAAAAAAACAATTGAAATAAAGATTCCTCAAAA